TTTTTGAGAAATTTTGGAGGATTCGGGGCCCGGTGTCGAAAAGTCTTGAAATTCTAGGTGATACATCTCGGGGTCATATAATGTCATCTGGAACCATATGTGATTATTATTTGTTGTCATAAATGTTCATCATAGGATCGAGTTAATGAAATCGGTGTAAGTTGTAAACGGTAAATTGGTCATTTAAAGGCAAATTGGATAGTTCCACTCACCCTATTGGACCCCCGAAGGATATTAGGGACCATGGTAAAACTTTTGGCAATTTTTATTTCTTGGGGTGAAAAAAGTCCAAAAATTCCTAAATTGAATGCTAATATCCACGCTTTTTGATAAATTTCGAAGGTGTCGAGGCCAGGTGTCGAAATGAAATGAGATTTTATTAGATACATCTCGGGGTTATATAATGACGTTTGAAACCATAATATGTTGTCATAAATGTTCGTGGTAGACTTGTGTTGATGGAATCAGTGCAAGTTGTAAACTAGTAAATTGGTCGTTTAAATGCAAATTGGATGGTTTCATTCACCTAATTGGACTACCGGATCGAAGGGTATTAGGAACGAACTATGGTAATCATGTCGACAATTTTCATTTACGGGCGAAAAAAAGTGAAAAATTTCCAAAATTGAATGCTAATATCTACGCTTTTTGAGAAATTTTTGAGGTTTTGGGGCCCGATGTCGAAAAGATTTGAGATTGTAGGGGATACATCTCGGGGTCATATTATACTGTTTTAAACCATAAATGATCACTATATGTTGTCACAAATTTTCGTGGTAGGCTTCAGTTAATGAAATCGGCGCAAGTCGTAGACCGATAAATTCACCATTTAAAGGCAAATTAGATGGTTCAACCACCTAATTGGACTCCCGCAGGGTATTAAGGACCATGGTAAACATTTCGGCAATTTTTATTTACAAGAGAAAAAAAAAAAGTCAAAAAATTCCAAAATTTAAGGCTAATATCCATGCTCTTTGAGTAATTTTGGAGGTTTCGAGTCCCGGTGTCGAAAATCCTTGAAATTTTAGAGGATATATTTTGGGTTCATATAATGACGTTTGGAACCATATATAATCGTTATATGTTGTTATATAAATGTTCGTGGTAGGATTGAGTTAATGAAATCGGTGCAATTTGTAAACCGTTAAATTGGTCGTTTAAAGGCAAATTGAATGGTTCCACCCATTCAATTGGACTCCCGGAGGATAAAAGGGACCATATTAAACATTTTGGCAATTTTTATTTACGGGCGAAAAAAAAAAGTCAAAAAAATTCCAAAATTGAAGGCTAATATCCACGTTTTTTGAGAAATTTTGGAGGTTTCGGGACCCGGTGTCGAACAAACTTGAGATTTTAGGGAATATATCTCGGGATCATATAATATCATTTGGAACCATTTATGATCATTATTTGTTGTCATAAATGTTCGTAGTAGGCTTGAGTTAATGAAATCGGTGCAAGTTGTAAACCGATAAATTGGTCGTTTAGAAATAAATTGATGGTTCTACCCACCCAATTGGACTAATGGAGGGTAGGGACCATGGTAAACATTTTGGCAATTTTAATTTTAAAAAAGTTAAAAATTCCAGAATTGAAGGCTAATATCCACGCGTTTTGAGAATTTTTTTTGGTTTTGAGACCCGGTATCTTAAAGATTTGAGATTTTAGGGGATACATCTCGGGGTCATATAATACTGTTTTAAACCATATATGATCATTATATGTTCTCATAAATGTTCGTGGTAGGCTTGAGTTAATGAAATCTGCGTAAGTTGTAAACCGGTAAATTGACCGTTTAAAGGCAAATTGGATGTTTCCACCCAGCCAATTGGACTTCCGGAGGGTATTAGTGACCATGGTAAACATTTTGGCAATTTTTATTTCCAAGCGAAAAAGTCAAAAATTCCAAAATTGAAGACTAATATCCCCGCATTTTGCGAAATTTTAAAGGTTTCGGGACTCGGTGTCGAAAAGTCTTGAAATTCAGGGAATACATTTAAGTGTCATATAATGTCGTTTGGAACCATATATGATTATTATATGTTGTCATAGATGTTCGTGGTAGGCTTGAATTAATGAAATCGGTGCAAGTTCTAAATCAGTAAATTTGTTGTTTAAAGGAAAATTGGATGGTTCCACCCACCCAATGGGACTCCCCGAGGGAATTAGGGACCATGGTAAATATTTCGTCAATATTTATTTTCGGGCGAAAAAATTAAAAAAAATTTAAAATTCAAGGTGTATATCCACGCTTTTTGAGAAATTTTGGTGGTTTCGGGGCCTGTTGTCGAAAAGCCTTAAGATTTTAAGGGATACATCTCAGGATCATATAATGTCATTTGGAACCATATATGATCATTATATGTTGTCATAAATTAAATGTTCGTGGTAGGCTTGAATTAATGAAATCGGTGCAAATTATAAACCAGTAAATTGGTCGTTTAAAGGAAAATTGGATGGTTCCAGCTACCCAATTGAATTCTGATAGGGTATTATGGATCATGGTAAACATTTCAGCAATTTTATTTTCGGGCGAAAAAAAGTCAAAAAAATTCAAAAATTAAAGGTGTATATCCACGCTTTTTGAGAAATTTGGAGTCTTCAGGGCTCGGAGTCTAAAAGTCTTGAAATTCTAGGGAATACATCTCAGGGTCATATTAATGTCGTTTGGAACCATATATGATCATTATTTGTTGTCACAAATGTTTGTGGTAGTCTTGAGTCAATGAAATCAATGCAAGTTGTAAACCGATAAATTGATCGTTTAAAGATAAATTGGATGGTTCCAACCATCCAATTGGACTCCCGAGGGGTATTAGGGACCATGTAAACATTTCGGAAATTTTTAAATCTGTGCGAAAAAAGTCAAAAAATTCCAAAATTGAAGGCTAATATCCATGTTATTTTTAGAAATTCCGAAGGTTTTGGGACTCGGTGTCGAAAAGAAATGAGATTTTAGGGGATACATCTCAGGGTCATATAATGTCGTTTGGAACCATAAATGATCATTATATGTTGTCATAAATGTTCGTGGTAGGCTTGTGTTAATGAAATTGGTGCAAGTTGTAAACCGGTAAATTGGCAGTTTAAAGACAAATTGGATAGTTTCACCCACCTAAATGAAGGTTTCGGGTCATACTTCTTATCGGGTTTGGGTCACGTTTTGGTCGGGTGAACAATAGGTTGGGTTTAATTCGGGTTTTCACGGGTTAGGGTAATTCTCGGGTTCAAGTCAAGTTCGATTCAAGTCAATAATTTGCAAATTAGAATCTGGTCGGGTCATTCTCGGATTTGAGTCGGGTTCTATTCAAGTCAATAATTTGCGGGTTATAGGTCGGGTCATTTTCAAGTCGGATCATTCTCGGGTTCAAGTCGGGTTCGGTTCAAGTCAATAATTTGCGGGTTATAATCAGGTTGGGTCATTTCCATGTCGGGTCATTCTCGGAGTCAAGTCGGGTTATGTTCAAGTCAATAATTTGCAGCAGGTTGGGTCATTTCCAAGTCAGGACATATTCGGGTTCAACTAACTATAAATAGATAATTATCATTTTTATCAAGCTAATTATTTCGTTTGACTATAATATATATGACAATATATTAGGGAACTATAGTTTATAATTTAGGAAGATTATTATCTCCTTTAACCATACAACAAATATATACTATATTTAACTCTTAAATTTGAGAATGTTGCTCCTTTCTTTTGTTGGCCTAGACCGACTTGGTCTCTCTATACAAAATGCTTTAATCAACAATAATAAGGTGGTCTAAATTTCATTTAAGGTGATTTGAAATCGGGTCAGGAACAATTCGAGTTGAATTTAGGTCGAGTCAATAACAAGTCGTGTTGATTTCGAGTCGGGTTAGTAACACATCGGGTTGAATTTTTGGATCGGGTTAGTAATAGGTCTGGTAAAATTCGAGTCGACTCAATAACAAGTCAGGTTTAATTTGGGTCAGATCAATAACAAGTCGGGTTGACTTCGGGTCGGGTTTGTAACAGGTTGGGTTAAATATGGGTCGGGTTAGGAACGGGTCGGGTTGAATTCAGGTCAGGTTAGTAACAAGTCGGGTTAAATTCGGGTTTTCACGGGTTAAAACGGGCTTTGGTCAATTTCGATTCAAGTCGGGTTCAGTTTAGGTCAATAATTTACGGGTTACATTCGGGTCGGGTCATCTCCAGGTCAGTTCATGTTCAGGTTCGAGTCTCACATACTCGGGTCAACTCGGGTCTAGGGTTGGTTTCAAGTCGCGTCAGGTCGGGTTTGGGTCACCATTTTTTCGAGTTCAGATGGATTGGTTAGTAATCGGGTTTGAGTTGGTATTTTGGGTCGGTCAACTTTTGACAGCTCTACATATATGACGTGGCAAAAGAGCATATACTCTGAACATAAAATCCAAAGAATATAATCTCATTTAATTAGTTATAGCTCTATCTTTTATTGGAGTGAGCCTCCCTATTCTATGGGTCAAGGCTTGAGGTATAGATGTACAGTGAGTACTTTGCATACACCTCTACCATTATATTTGCGCTAACCCCCTATAATGTATTCCCTTCATATAACCCACCAATATTGAGCTAAACAAATTTTGAGCGTTTGAGCGAAGGTTATTGAGCAAAAATCATACATCTTCTTTGATTTACCTACGATTGTAGGTAAGTCAAGGTACTTCTCATGTGTATGTAAACACACTTTTTTGAACAGGGTCAATACAAGATCAAAGTGATAGCCCTATAATTCTGTAGCTAGAAGAAAATATATTAAAGCATAACAAGAATGTATGTATAGCTTAAAATTCACATGTATTTAGTTTTGTCACACAATTTTTTATTTTTCTACCTTAACCCCTAATAACCAAGTCTAACTGTTAGTTGAGACTCACTCAACAACTGAATTATCGTAGCACACATTTTCACAAGCAAATCAATCTGTATACTGCAAATATATATACTTGCTGCATGAGCCTTTGATCAAATTATGGCTGATAATATATATCGCATACCAATGTGAAAATGATATACTTGATGATCTAATGCAGCCCAAATCAAAATGCTACCAAAGAAATGTCAAATTGAATCATCCATCATTAAAAAAAAAACTCCAACAATTCATATAAGTTGTAAACCAAACACATAAATTTTCTCATCCAAAGGCTAAGTTTTAAGCAGTAAACTTAAACTTATGAAGCAGCTTCAAAGTCTACAAGAATCTAGAAAACACTTTAACAAGTCCGCATAATCGCTATTAGTAAAAGGATGGTAACTTTTACCACTGCGCGGATTAAGTTGAAAAAACGAACAAGGTCATCCTGCTTCCTCAGTTCCCGGCTTGAGCTGATTCGTCGGATTGAGAAAAATAGTTCTGATAATTGAACCCTGAAACAAAATCCATGCCTCAAATGTGAGAGATTGATATATCATAAGCAGGAAAAAAAAATACAATAAAATTAGTCAGGTTTAGCTAAAATCAATTGGCAAAAGGTGTAATACCCTGCTAATTATTATTACTGGTTCAATTTCATGACTTCTCAACAACTAGTGAATGGAGTAAGATTGATTACCTTCTTAAACAAACTCATTCTCATCAACAACTTCTTGCTTGATGAAGTATGGAACTCCCTCAGCTTCATTTCTATTTCACAAACCATGCATAGTCTCAAAGTTAGCATTTTTAATTAACTTGTCTAATCTTTATAAGAAAACAAAGTTGCAAGTTTATATATACATATGTAATTACATATAAATATAATTTTCTTTGTTGTTTAAGAAAAATCTCACCCTGCAACGGCCCAGAGCCATGCTGGAAGTGGCCTCACAATGTTGAAATAGACCGGGTTAGATGATGCAAGGAAACATTCACCACTGTCGAAGTGATAAACAGCAACATCATGACGACGGTCATAGTTCTGTGTCTTGAAGATTTTCTGATCAGGGGACTGACCAGAATACGGGCGAAAGCTATCTCCAGGGAATACAATGCTGTTGCCTCTCCATCCAGGGAAATCCTTAGGCGACGCAAAGAAACATCCACTCCAATTGACAAACAGGATCCTATCATCACCTATACCTTGATGATAATCCCACCTCTCTTCATCTTCGTTCAGCTTGAAGATCTTAAAACCTGGCCGATTCTTCCTCCACCAACGATAGACTAAAAACAGTCCATCAGTTGCTGCAGCTAAATATTTCCTGCCCTCTGGTCCTGCACCGGCACACACCGAGTCTTCTGCAACACTTATCGTTTTCAAAGAGTGATAATCAATGTAGCAGATCTTACCAGTACGATCCATAGCATAGATCCTACCCTTATAGCTAACTATATCCTCGATCTTCCTCCCCTTGAATGTAACCTTGTGTGTTTCCATGTTCCCAAGTCTTGTTACAAATAGAGCAATTGAATTTGACATTTCAACAACAGAACAATCATTGATCGAAAGGGGGGTTTCATAATAAGGATCCACAAACAATATAGCCTTATTGTTGGTGGGACGCCTCCCATTCTTGGTTCGCTTAAATGATGATTCGCTATCAATTAAATTCGTTGTAACGAATGTACCCAATTCCGATACAATAAATTGAGATATATCTAATGCTTTTGGAAAACCTCTAGGCAGAATATCATTAACCTTATCAGAAAGAGGAAATCTGACGGTGAGTTTACCAGATGAAAACTCTTCAACTGACAGTAAGTATGGCGGTAGTTCAGGATTGGTGGCTGATCGCAGCAGGAAAACTGAACTTGCCATCAGAACTCTGGGAGTAGACGGCAATTCAGGTTCAGCAGGGAACTGGATGGGTAAAAAATGAGATAAGATGCTATTCATTGTGACCAGAGACAGAGGTGCTGATGCTTGCCATGTTTTGCAGATACTTCGGAGTTTGTGGATGTCATCACGGGTGTTGAAGCGTCCTGCGATCAAAGAAATGAGCTCCTTTGGTAATTCAGACCAGGAGATATGGCGATCAGGGAAGGATTTTTTCATCATCGGATTCATTGCAGAATTAGGACAATAATCGCCGCAATGCTGCAGAATTTTAGGGTTTATTATGAAAGAGATGAGTGAATTAGGGATCCTAAGGGAGCTTTTATATGAGGTTTGCGCAAATCTCTAAGAGACGCGTGTCAATCCTATCCAAAGGCAAAATGGGAAAACATATCCTTGTAATACTTTCTCCGTTTCTCAATAGATGCATCATTTCAAAATTTTAAACAACATATACATTGCTTTTAACCGTGCATCAATAATATGTAAAGATAATTGTCTACCGTGTCAACATATCATTTGTATACAACTTATACTAATGTATCATGGGACATTGATTGTCAAAATTAATATATAAATACAGTAATAATCAAAACGATACATCTATTGATAAATAATTGAAGCATAATTCAATAATAAATGATAAATTAGTAATAAAATGAAAGATGTCGTATATAGTTTGTGCACATAGTATATCTAGGATTCATTCACTAACATCAATTTTGGAATTTGACATACAAATTTTTTTCATCAAGATTTGTATTAATTTGATGGTGGTGATACTTTTTTTGGCATGGTATTGATTGATTAGGAATTTCTCCTTTGAGATCCAATAAAGGAACATCTTTACATCACTCTTAAGCTACAACCTTACTTGTTTAGACAGATTGATTGAACTTAATTAATACCTTTGAACAAATATCTTTGCAAAGTATGTTTTCCATTACACAACTACACAAGGTTGAGAAGAATGATCTATAAGAAATTGTAATTTTTTAGAAAAATGTACATGTATATATCTGACAAGGGTTACTAACCAATTGATTTATCAATCAAGAGCGGCCCATAGTCGGGTTCATAACCACAATCATCATCTTCTCCGTCTTCTCCTACATCATCATCATCTTACATTCCTCATTTCCCCCTTCAAATAAAGCACAATGATCTAAAAGTTAGTTACTATTCTTCACAAACTCATTTAATTTTAAGAAACAAAGTTTTGTACTTAATAAGTACTTCGTATATATAAAGTTAATGCTAAACTCACCTTGTGAACAAACGCGTACCGGCCAGTCCAGAGAGGGGGAAGCGAGGCATACCACATCAGAATAGCTTGAATAGAGGCTATAGGGCTACAATCACCGCCACCCTCGAAGCCAAAAACACAATGCAATTGTCTTTCCATCCAGTAAAATCCTAGGTCGTGGCAAAAAACCAGCCATCAAAAGGGATGAAAAATATTATCACTTATATCTATATTTGGATGGTTGGTTAAGGGTTTATGAATTGTTTGATTAATAGGGTTTATAAGTAGTAGGATTGATTCAGGGTTTATGAATTTTCTGATTAATTTATTAAGGTTTATGAATTGTATAATGTATTAATTCCGCATATATAGCATTGGGAATCGGGTTTCGGTATTGCATTGGTCAGCAATAGCCAAATTCTAGATGCCAAACTTAGCCCTAGTACAATACGTACAATATGTATATATATATTTTTTTTAACCTAGTAACAAGTTGCAATAAAAAAAAAAAAAAAAAAAAAAAAAAAAAAAAACCAAAGAATTGCTGATAAGACCAAATTGTTTTTCGACAATTGCAATAATTTGTCATACTTAACTAAGAACTGGAAGCAGAATGAAACTTCAAACAATATGATCATATGAATAGAATGCAATCTACCTAGGGAAAAACTTCAAACAATAAGACCAAGTAGAATGATGTAAAAAAATGTAAGGCCCCAAGTAATACTCTTCGTTTTCTAAACAACTCATAGATTCTCTTCTGTTTTTTTAAGCGTCTCAACTAGCTTGTATACTTGTATGTCAATTCAAAACTTTAACTAATATGATAGTAGTCCATAAAAAAAAATTTAAAAACATTTTGAAATTATACATTGAGCCGATTTAACAAGATTAGTAATTATTGCAAAAGGTCTGAAACACTTGATAAAAACTGATTAGTATACAAAAAACACATTTAGCAGATCTGATATTCATATGGGTCTTGGAAGATAATAAAAGAGTAAGGAGAAGCATTGCCCATTGGGCGAAACATAAACAGTACCTCAACAAAGTCTTAGCTTTGACTTCAGGTCTCTCTGTTACAAAGAGGAAAGATAGCAGAGAATCAAAGGAACAGCACCAGCTACACAGCGCAGTGGCAGTAATGAAAGATCAAAAGGGCTGATAGGCAGAGCACCGGTCCCTAACAAGTGAAAACTCAGGCAGCATACCAACACAGAGAACAGATAATAATAGAGCACAAGATATGTAAGAATTTGCGACTTTTTCTGCAACTTCCAGCACTCAAAATCAGTGTTTGGATGATAGAGTATTTCCTGTAATTCCCGGCATCTGAGGGTCAAAATATGGAGCAGTTTGACGGCAGTTTTCCAGCAGAATGGGCGGCTGATATCTACAGCCTTCGGTGGAGATTGCTGAGAGCCGAAACAGAGTAAAGAATAAGAAAGGGATTTCAATTTTAATAATTGGAAATGAAAATGAGTAACTGCCAGTTAGAGAATTAACAAAGTGAAGTAAAATGAAGGAAAGTGATGAGCAACTGACAGAATGACAGGTCTTCAACAGCCTTACTTGAATAGATGACACAAAAACAATGCAAGATCCTCTAATAATAACTCCTCTGTCAAAACTTTGATTAAAATTTCAAGATCCTCTGATAATTATTCATCTGTCACAACTTTAATCCGGCTTATGACTATATACAGGTCCATCACATTACAGAATCCTGCACAGATCTTTATTCTACTCTTTAAAGTTGAATTTTAGAATTAAACTAGTCAAAATCACAGGAAGAATAAACCCAGCAGATTATCTATTCCAAATAAGTAATTTCCTCTTTCTAAATAGGGTAAATGAAACTAGTAATGTCACTGATGTGAACTAAATCTGATCAGAGAAAGGACTTGCTTTCTGACAGATATCATGATTTTGCAACTGGAGAAGTTAAATCAAAATCACTATCCTAAACATCAATAATCTACCAATAAGCTTGTTTTCAAACTATATAAAAAAAAAGGGTAGAACACAAACAAAATCTCTCACACATTCACAGTATTAAAGTAATTATGCATCATTAAGAGTTATAAGCTGACATACAGATTTCTTAAAGCAGATAAAAATTTCGGCATTACTACAGTAAGTAGAAAAAAAGTATTTGCCATGTCTCCTAAAAAATGAGCAGAAACATCCTGCTCATGGGACAATACCGGAATATATAACTAATGGCAGTCCTGTCACACTATTTATAATGAAGTATGTAGCTGATGGCAGACAATGTTTGATCTACTTCTCAATCGCCTTCTTCCTCTTCTGCTTCTTCAGAATCACTTCTGAATAAGAATTTACCACAGAAAAAGCCTTCTTAGAGTCAGCATATTACATGAACTCTGTTCTTCTGATCTAGGAAAAGACAGCTATTAAGCTTAAGCATGTAGTAGCTATATTTTTCAGAGCTGTTTCATATAAGTTGAGGGTATTCTCAACCCTCTGTTGCACAAACAATTATCTGCTTTACACCATGGCAGATGTGACCAGAAGACAGAGGAATATCCTGGACAAGTTTCTAAAGGCCTACAATCACCATCTCCGAAATTAAAAACAGCAACATCAAGATGGAGCTTCCATGTCTCAAAGATTTTAGAATCAAAATCTCTTATACCAGAATACTCAGGGAAACTTCCTCTACGGAATACAATGCTATTTCCTTTCCATCCTGGAAGATCCTTAGCCAAGGCAAAGAAGCACCCATCAAAGGTCACAAACAGTATCCTGTCATCACCTATACCTTCAATGCTATCCCATTTCTGCTTCTCCTGATTCAACTTAAAAACCTTAAAGGCTGCATCATGATCACCAATCTGACACCGTCTTAAAATTAAATAGAGTTCTCCAGATGATACAGCAAAACGTTTCTTGTAATTGCTTCTAGATCCACCGGGCAATGGATCTTCACTTACACTCGACATATTTAACGATTGATAATCCATTGAACAGACTCTACCTTCATAATCAACTGCATAAACCCTTCCACTAAAACTCACCAAATCATCAAATTCCCTTCCCTTGAAATACACTTGCTGTGTTTCACCATCTTTAAGCCTTGTAACAGATAAATAATCTACCTGATCATACAACTCTATGACAGTACAATCATCAATGGTTGGACAAGTTTCACAATTTGGATCCACAAACAAAACCACCTTATTATCATATTCAGTTAATCTCTTCTCAGAGAACATATCTTCAGGCCTATCCACCCTTCTAAGAGTATAAAATCTACCTAATTCCTGAAAATCAGACCAACCAAAACTATTCGGGGAACCAATAGGCAGCACTCTAGTAACAACTCGAGAAAGGGGTGCTCTGACATAGAGCTTACCAGGGTTAAGCTCCTCCACGGAGATCAACAACGATCGGTGCTCACAACCCACATCTGATTGCAGAAGAAAAACAGAATTTGCCACTAAAACTGAAGAATGGCTCATACCTCTGTACGGAAAGAGAGGAGACAGAAAGTTTCTAGAGGAGAGCATAGATAAAGGAACAGAACTCCTCCATGTCTGACAGACTGTCCGGATCTGCATAATGTCTGTTCTTGTTTCGAGCCGCTCTGCGATAGACAGTACCAGCTCCGGCGGCAATGCAGACCATGTTTCACGGTCCATTGCAATCAGAGATTTGAGAAATATTTTAGGGATTGAAAGTTTCTAGAGGTCTTGAATAAGTAGCAAAACCTGAAGTTTGTTGTTGTATTTGTCAATTTGAGGATGGTGGTTGGAACTCCTTTATGAAAGTATCAATCTAAATTATTAAACTAACTAATAACGTGCAAGTTGCTCTACACAATTATGCAACATGAGAAAATGTTTTGTTAATGAACGGTCTAGATGTGATTGTGTAAACTTTAAAAGTAGGTGTTGGGTCATTCTCAATTCCAACGTGTTGTGTGGTGATGCATGTGCAAACTATGCCACAGAGGTAATTAATCACTTTTGTCAGTTTGTCAACTTTTGACAGAAAATTAGACCATCATGTCTCTATTGACAGAAAAAGTAAATGAAGATAATTTAAGGCTAAGCATTTTGATGATTAAAATTTTAATATGTATGATGGCATCTAGTCATCTTATTAACTTTACACGGATTATTTGTTAATTTTCACACTCAACATCATCTACCATTACACTCCAAATGAGCATTCAGTAAGATCTGTACTCCAAATAATTATTCATATCCTACATTCACGGGGCTCCTGATAAACTCTAATATGTGACCGTCTCTAAACAATGTACTAGAAAAATATTCTTTTATTCCGTGACTTAAATGTCTCACAATAAATTAGTGTGAGACAGTCTCACCCAGGACATACTCATTCCACCCAATAGTATGCATGAATTTTGAACAACCCTCTAAGATTTAAAAGTACATTTCAAACTAATTCCACTGAAGAAAAGTAGGCATATCCTATGCCTGAAAGTTAAAAATATAGAATAAAGTACACAAAATGATCAATTATTCAAAGCCAAAAAAAAGAATAAAAAAAAAGTCATCAGATTCAGTAATAAACAATTAAACATGAATATTCTCAACAGAGGTTGTCCAATCCTGGAACTACAAAGTTTGAACAAAAAACTGCTGTCCTTAAACATCAAGAATCCAATATACAGAAACATTCTCAACAGAATAAACAAGTATCTAGCTAAACATACAGAGCTTTGTAGACATTAGATACTTCTCAAAGATGCTTTTTCTTCAACCAATTAACTTAACAAAGGGAAACCCTGTTCATAACAGCTCCAGACCACCAGACAAAAAATCCTAGATACAAAAAAATCTTAATAGCAAAAATACTCTGTCAATTTCGCCCATGCACCATTGCTGTACTGCAAAGTCTAGAGTATATCAGGCTTTTTGTAAGATTGACTTATGTATAACATAGCAGAATGCCCAGAATTCTAACAATTATTTTGATAGATTTTTCATGCCAAGTGTAAAACAGAAAGCCTGGTTTACATTCTAAGCTTCAATGTTATTCCTGTTAATTATGCATGTATTTACTTGATTCTAAGCAACGGCCACTGCCTAAAAGGTGAACCAAGACCAGTAGTGTATTAAACCATAGGTTTTGTCAAGTAGTGATCATATTCTGCAAGTACAAGTATCAAATTAAAAATTACTCCTTTCATTAGTATAAACTGATGATGCATCTTACAAGTATAAAATACAGCCGATACTCTGTATATTTTATTTGGCAGTGATACTCCGTATATGCTTCAAAATCCTGATTCTTAAACGCTACTGAATTTCTTAAACCAAGAAAAATATATAAACATTTTCATTATTTCTATCCCAAAACATTTTCATTATTTCTATGCATCTCATAGTGTAGCTGATATACTGAGATTGTAGATCCTGACTCTTAAAATATGCCAAAGAACCTAACAAAGAAATATCTTATCTACTCAGACAACCTACACAGAAAAAAGAAGCATTCTAGTTATCTATATATGAAGTATATACATCCTAGTTATATACTTACATAACTGTATATGACAGATTGACTGATAAATTATACCATAAATGACTGTCAAGCTCCCAAAAAGTAGAAGTATAAAGTGTGCAATGAGAATCACAGATAAACTCCGAAATTAGAAAGGAAAACACAAAATGTGATACAATCACTTGCTCATATGTAGAAAGGAAAAGTTATGCAAAAAACCAGGACAATAATCTCGAATAAAGAACAATCATTTCAACCAGAAGACAATAAAGCAAAGGTTGACTGAATGACTGATTATACCATAAAAATATATCCCATAAGGCCATAATGGTCTGTTCACAACACCCAAAAAAATAATCCAAAACAAATAGGAGCCAGCAGATTTTTGTAACACTTGTATGTAGCAGGTACTTTCTGCCTGCAGCTCAAAATGCTAAATACTGTAATATCTTCTATCATTAACATTAATATTCCACAAAGAGATGATCACTAGTTAGAAGTACTAAATGCCAGTTACAAGACATATATATACTAACTCATTACCTTAGTACAAACAAAGGTCCCCAACATTAAAATTACAACCACCAGAGTTGGACTTAGGACCTGAGACACTAAAGCAAGATAGACATATGTTCCTTAAAGTGCAACTTAAAACTGAAGCAAAGAATTAGTAGCTGGAGCAGAAGCTTTAGTGTTTTAGCATGGCCATCTTGAAAAAAATCAGAGGCTTTTAGCTTAGGAGAAGGATAATTATAGTCGCCGATTAATGCATATTGGTCAAGCAGCTATATATAGTATGTATGCTTTGTTACCTCCCATGGACAATCGTCATGATCTGTGCCTCATGCAAAGGGAAAGGAGCATATTGAAGTCTACAAGGGGCTCATTCTTTGACCTGCTTGTATCCAGCTAGGATTCTGATAATAGAAGAGGCAGCATAGATTAGTTTCAGTTAACATATCAAAAAGAGCACAATGGAAAATAATGCTTGAAACAATGAGCAGACAGCATGCAAGCCAAAAGCAATGTATACCATTTTCTGGACAAAATTTACAAGTAACATGTTTGATTATGTATTGCAGGACAGGGTGGAGGAATTTTTTACCTATCTTTAGAGAGCGAACGTGGTCTAGCCCAAGACGGAGGTGGCCAAAAGTAAACCAACAAGCCCGAGTTAGATAATAAAAGACAATCCCTAAAGATACCCTCATCCAAATAGGCCACATTAATCTCAGGGCGCCTATTCTCTCTCTGAAACAATATATCATCAGGATAATACCATTCAGTATTATAGGCATGGAAACGGTCCTTAGGGAACACAATGCAATTTCCTCGAAACCCAGGCAACCTTTCAGCATCAACAAAGTAGCAATTATCAAAGGTCACTAATAGTATCTGGTCTCCCAAACTATCAACCTTATCCCACACACGCAGCTCAAAATCAAGCTTATACACCTCGAAATATTCATCACACGACCCATGAATCATATACAGATCCCCAAACGATTCAACCAAAAGCTTAAGCTTAGTACTGAACGAATTAAAAACCATAGAGAATGTGCAAGATGTGACCATTTTCACGCTTGATCCACAACCATCAATAAGATAAGCAATTCCTCCTCCATCAATAGCACAAACCTGCCCCTTTAAACTTACAATGTCACTAAAATTAAACTTATCACTTAATCCATAACTTATACTCCTTAATTCTCCACTTTCTAGTTCAAAAAGAATCAAATTCCCAAAATTAGTAAGTGCAAATACAACATCAACATGATTAATAACATTCTTTGCATCACAATCAGAGAGTAAAACCACTTTAATAGCATAACCACGAAACCCATAAAAATCAAACACTTTTTCATCCCATTTATCAAAACAGAGCTTAAGCCCTTGACCCAAAACCGAAACCCGACAATTCAACAAATCCAACTTTTCTGGGAAACTTGAGGGTAAATCATTAATGGTGGTTTTAGTAAGGGGAAAACGGGGACGAAGCTTACCTGGGTTTAGCTCTTCAACAGAGATTAACCATGGATTCGCCATTGATGAGGTGTGATCAAGAGGTTGAAGGAGAACAGTGGCAGTTCTTACTAGCAAAATTGGGGAATTTGATTGCTTGAAAATGGCGGAATGAGATGGGATTTGAAGGGGTAATTTGGAATCCAAAAGGTGACCGGAAAAGGGGGTAGAAGAACGCCATTGTTTGCAAACTGCCCGGAATTTGAGGTGATCATATCTGGATTTCAAGTGACTGGAAATTTTTGATAGTAATTCTGGGGGAAGATTCGCCCAATTAATTGAACAATGTTGCATTTTTTGAATATTTTTGTAGAAATTTTTGGTTGTTATAGATGTGGAACAAAGAATTTAATTAATTTCTGGGATTTTGTTGTTGTAATTTGTAATTTGATTGTGGAGTAATTTTTAGGGTTTGTCGTTGTATTTACCCATCTCATATAAAATGATAAAATATTATTTATAGGAAGTTTATAATCTTCATAAACTAACTAATTAACTAATTACTAAATTAAGCGAAAATATTGCAAAAATATTTATAATCACAATTATCATAAATTTATCTTTGCTCATTCTCGAAACGTTTTTCCATCAAAAGGGCAATTAAGTGTGCGTATATGACTATATGATGATTTTAAGGTCGATAAAGTGTGCGTAAATGATGATTTTTATTTTTCCTCTCTACTTTATGTCAAATCGTTGCAAATTTTATGTAACGGAGGTAGGATTTAAAATGCAACTACAATAAAAAACAGATACTGTACAAATTTATGAAGGGCAGGGAGGGGAAGGGAGGAAGAATAAATATTATATGGAGTAGAACATAAATTAACAACTTTCTGCCCTGCTGCTAGCATTGTTCCTTAAACCATTGCATTCTTAAGCCTCGCCAACAGCAAGTAAATGTTTGTGAATAGCAGTGTAGCACTCAATTTCATGTTCACTACAACCTGTAACATTGCCTGATAATTTACTCTGCTGCTAATACATGGATTGTGAATTTCCTTGTTATAGCAGGTCAAATATTTGATCAGACTATAACTTATAAGTCAAATTGCAGAATTATCTACTGATAAAATAGAAACATTCCTCGTGCCTGGCATAGAGCAAAAATTTAAGCTTCGATATCAAACACTAGGATACGTAATAAATATGCTTATATATGCATTACAAACTCATGGTTACATAAGGATGATTACAAGACAAGCAGGATTTATATTAAACAACTTTTTTTTCCCTGCAAGTAGATGGTCAAAAAAAACTTTCATCCTAAACACCTATATGTACATGGTTTGCGACCACTAATGTAGGGGGGTATACTTAAACTAAAACTTTTTCATCCATAAGTAAAACCTGATGATTTGGTGAACATGTCTCCAAGAGCATAACCGATATCAGCTTGAAAATCCAGATTTTTGACAGCTACTGCTTTCGATAAACCAAATTACATTTGAAGCATAAGAGCATAGCAAATAGATACACCGTGCATACCATATATACAGTCACCAACAAAAAAAGCAAAAGCAGCCAATCTATCGAACAACCTCTGCCAACATTTATAAGAATCAAACTACAATAAGAAAAACACAAGATGTCATCTCAGGAGTATAAGTGTATAATCAATATAAAATCCAGAAAGAACTATATAAGTATATATTGGTTCTATAAAATATAATATTGAACAAAAGTTATTAAAATGTTAACATACAGCAGATGAAGCTGATTGAACGTGGTCCTTCAGCAAAGCACATCTTTCAAATATGATGAAGCTGAGGCCAATTGGCACTCTGGAACAAGCTTTCCCATTTCAGCCAATTTTTTTTCCACCTCACGCAATTCTGTTTGGAGCTTGGATTTTTTCATCTGAAGCTCCATGATATCCTTGTTTTTGTGAAGAAACAAAGCATTTTTAACCAAGGGAACTAGCCAATCCAATTTAAATTGCATCAATTGAAGGTCAGGCAGTGTCGACTCCAAATATTTAGCTTGAGAGTCATCTAAGGAACTCCCTGAACTGCTTGGAAGGATAATTATTATCTTTGCAAGGGATTCTAATGCCCAAGAAAGGAGGCAATCACTAGTCACTACATGCCCTTCTGTTATATTTCCATACTTAGCCCATATCTTCTTTAATATTGGGACCGAATGAGAGCTCACATCAACTCCTAAGAATTTCGATTGTGAGACATCCTTTTCAAATATCTGTACAAGAACATAAAGAAACTTAAATAATGCCTCTGCCCTTCAATGGAAATGAAATACAACAATTACAATTTGTAGGTCATTGATTTATTTAGTAGCTTTTTATTAGAGCAGCAGGATAAGGACACAGCAGAAATTCTACAATACATGGGAATTTTGAAGTGAATTCAGATCAATGTTAGCAGGTCTCAGAACTCAAGTCTTAGACCAGAGCAGACATTAAATCGCTCACTGCACACCAATTTGTGTTCATAATAGATATACAGCCACGATTTCAGCAGATATAACCACCATGAAAATGTCTCCAACAAAGTTACCTTAAGAGGAGAGTGCATAGCTGGAGCTGAATCAACATTGTTCTGATTGTTGAAACCTGAAACTAAAAAGGATTTAGTTTAAGAAAATGATATAACATAGGAAAAGAATGTAGTTGGGAAAAAGGAAAGGAGCTAAGAAATGTAAGGGTATAATCTTTACTAGCTAAAATAAATGGACAAAAAGCTAAGGTAAAGTCCACTTTTGATTAAAACTTTTATTAACTGTGTGAGATAGAAGCAAGTCTCTTGATTTCTCGAGTTTGCTCTATTCTCTTAGTTAAACACAATAGTCAATATGATCTTATATGTTGGTCATTCTCCTCCTGTTCTTTAAAGTTAAACTACTAAATTCAGTTATCAACATGAAGTCCACGGGGTAAGCTTTATTACCTTCATGAGCTACATGTTGCTGAACATGTTGCACATGCTCAGCAACCTGCACATAGTTGGGGGATATCTCATCTATCTCCTCCTTAGGGATGAGATCTGGAGTAATTTTAATAGAAGAACCACTTTGCAGCTTTACTCCATCTTCTGCTCCATCTCCTCCTCCTTCGGAACCAGAATCGGTTACACTAAAGAAATTATCACAGACCAACAAACAGTTAGCATTTATTATGAAAATCTGATCTCTAATTTATTACCAGGAAAATACTTAAGTATACACATGTTCCAATCCTACCATGTGAGCAGACTTGCATCTGTCCAAAGCCATGATGGGGGTGGCCATAAGACCTCAGAATAGCTCGGATACTCAAGTAGATAGCGAAAATCACCACCCTCAAAGTGATAAACAACAATACCCATTACCCCCTTCAACATTGCAATATTGAAAAACCGACTGTTAGAATACAGGGGAAAACATTCCTTCCGAGATACAATACAATTGCCTTTCCACTGCGGAAAATCCTTGGCTAGGGCAAAGAAGCAACCATCAAAGGTAACAAACAATATTCTATCATTACCTATACCTTGATCAAGCTTATCCCATTTCTTTTCCTCCTCATTCAACTTTAAAACCTTAAATGTAGTCGGATATATATTCTTAAAACCCCATACAGTATAAACTAGATACAATTCATCACAAGATACAACCAAACGTTTCTTGTTGTCACTTCCTGAACCCTCACACAATGGTTCCTCCACAATTTTCAACATCTTCAACGACTTATAGTCCATCGAACACACCCTACCCTTTCGATCGACACCGTATATCTTCCCTTTGAAACAAATTACATCATCGAGCTTCCGCCCCCAGGAATTTACATGACGAGTTGCTCCATTCTTGAATCTTATCACAATTAAACGTATAAGATCAGACAACTCAACAACAGTGTAATCATCTTTAGTGCAATCCGGGCTCACAAACAAAACCACCCTGTTATCTAAAGGGAAATCATTTGTTGGATGATTATAATACCTAACAACATCATCAGATTCATCATTATTATTATCAGTGGAATTCTTATCAACTAGTTTATAAGTATGAAATCTAGCCAATTCCGAAACATGAAATTGAGACAAATCCAAGTTTTGGGGAAATTTTTCAGGTAATCTTTCAGCAATGAGACGAGAAAGGGGTGATCTAACGGATAATATACCTGGGTTTGACTCCTCAACGGAGACTAGCCAAGGTTGAAGCTTGGGATTAATGGCTGATCGAACAAGAAATACGGAATTTGCGACTAGAAATTTGGTACGATTAATATCGATTGAGTGTGGGAATATAGGGGATAAGATGTTTTTTGGGGTGAGGAGAGAGAGGGGGGCTGAAGCTCGCCATGTCTTGCAAGCTCGCCGGAAATGGAGGATGTCTGCTCGGGTTTCTAGGCGATCTGCGACGGCTGTTAACAGTTCCGGCGGTAATCCCGACCATGATACTCGCCGGCGACGGTTGCTTGTCATATTGACTGTCAGCAATTATAGGGTTCTTCAATACGAAATTACGGAGGAGATTGTTTTAACCTCTATGTTTTCTACCCTTCGTATTAATCTCAAAACTTACTCTATGACATATGCCTCTTCACTCCCACTTAATTTCATATCAGTTCATTTTAACTCCAATCAGTTCAGTTTAATTTAGCTCAGATTTTAAATTTCTTCTCTTATAAAATATTCATTTTTGTTCTATTCTATTCAGTTCAGTTCAACTCATCCACTAAATGTGAACAGACCTATAGTATGTGTTAAAAATGACCCTATCAATCCATCCAATTTGATTTGAAAAGAATCCGGTTTAGATTTTGACTCGTATAAACTCAATTATGAAATAGATCTGATCTAACCTTATCTAATCTGACTCAGTATTTTAATTGACACCTCTACACATACGTACCATTATTGTTGTCCATTAATATTTTGCAATTACTTTGTATTGCGTCATTCTTGTATTAGAGTATACTAGTAAGAAATATTAAAAAAGAAATATCATACTAATGCAAAAATATTGGGTTTATTTAAGTATTGGTAAAAAAATTATAAGTCAAACTAAATTATACAAAAAGAGGCATCAAGAACGACACGTGTTGAGGTCTAATAAAAACATTTCATTGCCAAAACTATTGTCTCACATTATGGACATTAATCCGTGATTTAATTAGGCATAAATCATAAAATGGGAAAATATATATATATTATGGACCAATTGATCATATAATCATATTAATGAGTCTACAATTTTTCTTTCAAAAAAAAAAAGTGCACAATTTAAAAGTAAAAATGATTTGTTATAATTTAGATTTAACTCTCGTATATGTTTTGTACTTTTGTTACTGTATGTGTCCATACTTGACTGACTCAAGCATCCCAAGATCTAATTGAGTGAAAAACTATAAATGTGATCACCTCACTATCCAAGAAACACATACGTTGCACAAGTATTGTTTAAAATCAAAACTTCCGTTGGCTTTTAGGGCATGTTCACATTTACTGAACTGAACTGATTGGAGCTGAACTGAACTGAACTAAATTGAGCTGAAATAAATATTTTATGAGAGAGGAAAATTAAGAGCTGAACTGAACTGATTAGAGCTGAACTGAACTAAAATTAAGTAAATGTGAACAGACCCTTAATTCTAAGAAGAAAAAAATTTAATTGTTGGAGCCCGAGTATTTTTCTTAGGGTATCTATCTTGATATCTTCTAGTTTGAGACTCCCAATTACAAAAAAAAATACCTTTTGATTAATCTATCACATGTTAATTACGGAGTAGCTATTATGTCTTTTAATCTTAATACCAAACCAAACTAAACTCAACCTACAGTCTACACTAGCCAATAGATGAATAGACATCTTAATTAATCTCCAATGAAAGAAGCAAACCTACCACTAATATTAAACTTAGCTTGCTGCAATGCTGCTTACAACATTGCTGTTACAAAGGTGGCTCGAAAGCCGCCTGAAGCCCTGAACATAGTCGTGACAGTTGGACTTAAAAGTATTAGACTTGAAAATTTGAAACCAACTTAACTAACCTCTTTGGCATATGCCTACTATGATACTTCACTTTTCTAGAAAATGCCTTCATACCAAATTTGGTGAAGAAACTGATAGCATCCATGCTTTACAAGTTAATAAATGACCAATTTCTTGAAACAAACATCAGAATGAGGTCTGCACAACTAATGTGATGTTTTTAAACAAAATGACATTGTACAATGTTGATTAATCAATGATTGATACTAACAGCTTGACTGGTTCAAGAGGCAATTTCAATTTGCAAGACAATTTGGTGCTTACTCAATGCCAACCAATCACTTAGAAATGTACCAGATTACATTATCAAAAGCTCCTCAATTGAACATATAACAGAAGGCAAAACCTGTAATATACTACAGTATCACTAATTGACTGTATAGCAGGAAGAATGATGCACAAGCCAGAAAATATAGAGATAAATTTGTCTGAATAAAGATACAGAAGGGTCGAGATACCATCAATCTATATTACATAACAATCAGTTCACAAAAGAGGATAGAACTAGACCATTCAATTTGTATCAAAAGACTTCTCCCTACAGAGGTCCTATTAATCCTGCAACTACGAGTGGCTATTTTCGAATCCTAAAGACCTGAGCATCATTACCACAACTAAAAGTTTGGTTTACATAACCATTACTTTACAGTGATGAACAAAAAACTTTCTTCCATAAGCATAAATTGATGATGCATCTCCAAAAGTGTAGTTGATTCCTCGATTCCTCAGCTTGAGCATTCTAATTCCTGACAGCTATTGCTTGTCCTTGAAAAAAAACACAGAAGCATGAGAACTTAGCAAGAAATATATTTACCATATATGAAATCACATACAGAATTAGCACAAGTTAGTGAAATTATACTATGAAGCTGAGGAGGTCGAGGACTGGGCATGGTTCTTCAGCTGAGACCACTTGGCTCTCTGAAACAAGCTTTGTCTGTTCAGGCAATACCTCTTCCATCCAATAAAACTCTGTTTGGAACTCGGGATTTGTCTTTTCAAGATCCATACAAACCTTGTTTTTGTGAGGTGCCAAAACCTTCTCTACTGAGGGCATAAGCCAATCTAATTTAAAGTGCATTAGTTGAAGATCAAGGAGGACTGAATTGAGATAATTAGCTTGGGAGTCATCTAATGACCTTCCTTCATTGTTCTCAAGAAAAATAATCATCTTAGCTAGAGATTCTAAGGCCCAAGTAAGAAGACTTCCACTGTTCACAACATGCCCTTCTATAATGTTTCCATACTTATCCCATATCTTCTGCAAAATCGGAATCAACTGAGAGCTCACATCTACTCCAAGGAATTTTGCTTGTGAGCCATCTTTTTCAGCAATCTGCAAAGAATATATAACAATTGAGGCAGAGGCCAGGAAACAAAAGAATCGCGATTTATAATATAGATAGAGTATTGTTATATGCAGGTCTTTTACAACGAACCTAACTAAGAAAGAGGGGCCAACCAACACACAGTACCTTAAGAGGAGAGTTCACTACAGGAGCTGAATCACCACTTTTTTATCCTTAAACTCTGAAATCAAATTGAAGGAATTAGTTTGAGAAATTAGTATAACATACGAAGTATAAATGTAACTACAAATAATAGAAAAGGAGCAAGAAGTTCAAGTATATAAACATAGCTACAAAAGTACAAATGAAAGGAAAAGTGCAGGAAGCTCTATATGATGTGTTAACTTTTCATCAATTGGCAAACCCACAAGTCATATGATCTTAAATGTTCACTAACAAATTCCTCCTCTTGTTCTATATTGATCAGTTTTCAACAAGAAGTGCGCGGCATAAGGTTGATTACCTTCAAGAACTATGCGCTCTTGATCAATTTGTATGCCCTTGGAAACTTGCGCGCCATTGGGGGGATTCACTTCCTCATGGATGGGCTCAGGAACAATGTGACAAGAAGAATCACTTTGTAACTTATTATTATCCTCTTGTTCTTCAGCTCCTCCTTGTCCTTCTCCTTCGACCTTTTCTTTAACACCTTCTTTATCTCCTCTTTGTTCACCTCCTTCAGAATCCATTCCACTTAAGAAATAACACATACAATCATTTCAAAGTTAGCATTTTCTTTTCTTTTTTTTTTTTTTGAAAAAGTTAGCATTTTCAATAACAACCTCAAATATATAAAAACAGAAAACATACGTTTTTTTCAATGAGCTTTTACAAAAGTCTAGGCTAGTCTCACCTTGTGTCCAAACCCACATCGGTCCATAGCCATGACGGGGGTGGCCATAAGAAGTCGGCATAGCCCGGACAATCAAACACAAGCTTACAATCACCACCCTCAAAGTGATAAACAGCAATAAAAATCTCATCCAAGTAAGGTGACATGAATATCTTACTGTCAAGAGTCATCTTACCCGAATATAGAGGAAAGCTACCCCAAGGGAACACAATACAATTGCCCTTCCACCCCGGAAAATCCTTAACTGCGGCGAAAAAACAACCGTCAAGAGTCACAAACAACATCCTATAACTACCAATACCATCAACCATATCCCACTTCTCCTCCTTCTCATTAAGCCTAAACACCTTAAACGCCGCCTTTCCTTTCTTAGACCATCTATACACTAAGTACAATTCATCATCACTCGAAACGACTAATCGTTTCTTGTTCTCACTCCCCGAACCCTCACAAAGCGGATCCTCAGCAACACTCGACATCTTAAGCGAATTATAATCCATCGAACACACCCTACCTTTCCTATCAACAGCATAAATCTTCCCTTTAAAACAAACAATATCATCAAACTTCCTCTTTCCCATAAAATACACTTTTCGTTTCTCCCCATTTCTAAGACTCTTCACTGTTAGGGCTACCTCTTTGGACAATTCCACAACCATACAATCATCGATGCTACAACAGCCAGTTTCGCAATTCGGATTCACAAACAGAACAACCTTATTTTCATCCGGAAATGACGGCTTCTTTGGCATCTTTGTATAAGGTACCAAAACCGGAACATTGAAATCAGAAACTACAGTATTATCATCCAAATAATTATAATTGTAAAACATACCTAACTCCAACTCACGAAATTTAGACAAATCCAATTCATACGGAAAATCGTCAGGCAATTCGTAAGACTCGGCGATATTACGAGAAAGAGGCCGTCTTACGGAGAACGAACCGGGGAACAACTCTTCACCAGTGAACAACCAAGGCGGGAGATTTGGATGAGCATCAGATTTTATGAGGAAAACAGTGTTTGCCACTAAAACCTTAGTGTGATTTTTATCAGAATCTTCTGGAAGTTTGTGAGGGAGAAGATGGGTTAAGATGGGTTTTGAGTCGAGGAGAGAGAGAGGAGCTGAAGATCGCCATGTCTTGCAAACTCGCCGGAAATGGAGGATGTCGGTTCGGATTTCGAGGCGGTTTGCGATGGCGGGGAGTAACTCCGGTGGTAATTCCGACCAGGATAGTTCCCGGCGACGGTGAGTTTTCATTTTAGGAGAAAATGTTTTGATGATTGAATTTTATTTTATGATTGTAAATTTGGAATTTGGGGTTTTTGGACAACAAGCAAGTAAAAATGTAAAATATGAGTGAAAGTTGAGTGCTTGAGTCGAGAATTTTTGCTAGAGGAATATATGCTAGTTTTTGGCTTTTTGGTGCCCGCCTAATGGACATGATTGTTCCCGCCAAAATTATATCCTACAGTTGGTTTTAATGTTTTATGGGTTTTCCGCTTTCAATTTTATTTTGGGCCCTGATACTGGCTTAGGCCTTTTAAGAGCCTGGGCCAAGATATTATATGAACCAATAATATTTACTATAGAGTACTCTACTACCATGTACATATCAATATATTACTCCGTATTACCTCATTCTGTTTAAAATGCAATGCTTTGACAGATATAATTAACAAGACATAACCAATTATATTTACTATATATTACGTCTTGTTTAAAATGAAATACTTTTGAGTAATATAATTAACAAGACATTAATATGTACTACACTAGTACTCCATCCGTCCTTTGATTACATACCTACTTTTCTCTATTATGTGAGGGATAAAGGCTAGAAGTAAGAATCTAATTAAGGGACGGAGGGAGTATAAAGTAATTAGTTTTACATACACGACTCAAATCCCACAGACATGCCTCTCGTGCCAAATCCAACCAACAACGGTAACTATTGGCCCGTCCATGGTCAGTTCTACCCATTTCGGGCTGAAATCAACAAATTTTTTAGGGTTGGCAATTTCTGACCCGACTCGATAACACGACCTAAACTCGACCGAAGTTACTGTTAGAAACTCGAACCGACCTAAACCGAATCCAAAGAACCGGAATTTAACCCAAATTTCATATTTCGTATTAATATTAACTTTTTCACTATTTTTGACAGTTTCTAATCATAACTCGAAATCGAAATCCCACCCGAATTGCGAGCCCTAGAAAATTCTCCTCTCCTCTTTGAAAGCGAGACGACTTCTGTGTTTCTATTCGCTTTACCCATTCACAACACTTATAAATAGCCCCCAAATTAAGTAAAGTCATTTTATCAGTTCGAATTATCGTTGCCTTTTTTACAACTGAGTGAGCAGAGCCAAGAGGAAACCGATCAACTTTCCCAATTCGCATTACAAGTATGTGTTTCCCCTTTTCTTTTCTCCTTTTGATTCTTGTAAATTTATTGGATTGCTTAAGTTGTGAATTGAATCGTCAAAACCCCCAAAATTCCATCAATTTTTAACATCAAAATTGATTGATTTATGTTTGATTGTGTTGAAATTATGGAAGAATTTTAGTATCCCACTAATCTTGACTGTAAACCCTAGAATTGGAAATGATTAGTTGTCTAAGATGAATTTTTAACCATTGTCTGCAAACCCTGAAAATTGAAATTGAATAGTGGTGTACTCTGTTCATTTTTTTTTTTTTTTTTTTTGTTAAGCAGTAATTTGATAATGCCCATAACCTGTTTGATGAAATGTCTGGTAGAAATCATCATGTTTTCCCTCTTTTGTTTCGCTATATACAGTTCTAAAATTCATCATAGTAGTATACATTGTGGATTTATTGGCATCAAAATTCAAAATTAGAATTTTCTTTCTCTTTCAAATGTAGTATGTCCAATTTAGATTTTGTATAATTGCATGAAGTGTCTCAAGTTTATATGGATTTTCAATTCTGTACATTTCAAGAATTTCATGATGTTGCTTGGCGTATATGTTGTTTTGCCAAGATTATATACAATTGATTTTACATAACAAAGGGTTGCTGCACTTTGGGTGTAAGAGATTCAGTGGGATTTTGAGCATATGAGGTGAAGGTGAGAGATTGAATGGGGGTAATGCTATCACTTACTTACTTGCTTTCCTGTTTCTGAGAACCTCCTAAGTCCTAATTTATTAGGTAACTTGTAAAGAATTGCCTTAAAACCTTTTTACCGCCTTCTATATGGAGTATAATTGTTGCCATGTTGGACACTACTCAAGAAGCCTAAAGAATCCTTGTGAAGCTATATGCAAACCATAATCCTTGTAGTATCTGAACCTCATTATGAGTGGTTTAATGTTTAATAGTCATGTCTGGTGGTTCATCTTTAATTGTCTGTTGTGAATTGGCAAAGTTGTTAAATTTTCATTCTAGACTATTATATGATTCACCTCTTTAGTCTCACAACCTGCTGTTCTTCACCAGATATTTGGATTGTCATTCCACCATTTCTCACCTTTGATCACTTAAACAGGCCTTGCCGGTTCTCTCTCCCCTTCCTCTTCATTTCACAATGTCAGTTATTCGTTTATAATTTTATATATTTTTCAGGAATCCTGACCTATTATTTGTCAATATATCTTATAGCATGCCATAGAAGTTTGTTTGAAGTATAATGTTGATAAGTTGTTTCAAAATTACAAGCCGCTGCTTGTGTGCTTTATTAGGCAACTGTTATATTGTTTGTTGCGTTTGCTTTTTTTTATTTTTTGAAGGAAGAAGCATCAATTTTCAGAATTTTATGTTTTACTCCTATGAATATTTCTTTATTTTTGGGTTTTAAATCTTTTAATGCTTTTCCTCTATCAATTTTAGAGCTTAGACTCCAGTTCAGAGAGAAGTTTATAGGCCAGTCTTAGTAAAATATGCCAAAATCACTAGCTCAATAGGAATAACTCCATGCTGGTCTGTTCCTCTATTTCATAATTTAGTTATTGGACAGGATGAGTGAATCCTGATGGCATGGGATCAGATATATGGCCACATTTTTAATTGATAAATAGCATTCAATCATAGATCTAACTTAAGTATTATTTTCGGCTTTTGGACTTAAAGATGATGTTCGGCTGTAATTACAAGGAGGAATTAGGATACCAAGTGAAGCATTTATACCATTTGCCATATGAAGCTTAATAGTTGGACTAACTTCCAAGTGATGGCTTAAAGCAGAAATTCATCATTCTTGTCCCAAGGAGAGACTTAACTTGTGAATTTTATTTGTGTAATATTTTAAAGTGGGTGCCTGGAGGTGGTTGTAATGTTCTAATCTCCAATATTCATCTAGACTGTCATTGCAATCAGTAGTTTGATATTCTGATGAAGTCATAACTCTTTTTTTTTCTTCTTATTTTACTGGCAGTTTCAGGTTTTTTTGGCTATGGGAAGTGAAGATGAGCAAAAATATGCTGCCTTCATGGAGAAAGTGAAGCGGACAATGTATCTTGACAATATCTCACCTCAGGTAACTGATGCAGTCATCAAAACTGCATTTGAGCAATATGGTACTGTGACCAACATTCATTTCATCCCGAACTACATTGAGCCAAACTACAGCGGGAAGTGTGCCCTTGTGGAGTTGGAGAATGAAAAGCAAGCAAAATCAATTATTGAGGTGCTGTCTTCTTATCCATTCATGATGTCAGGAATGCCTAGACCAGTGAGGGGTCGTCATGCAGAGCCAGAAATGTTTGATGATTGTCCGCCTAAGCCTGGTAGGAAGATACAAGTATTTTGGGTAGACCCAAAAGATCCTCAATTTGAGGTGGCACAGAAGCTCAAGAACCTGACAAAGAAACATGTTGCTGAACAGTCCTTCCTACAAAAGGTTTGTAAAGATTAGTAGTTTTGCTGTTAAAATTTGCTTCAAAGGGATAGTTATGTTGGTATCTTCTACACCCCCACCATTTCTTTCTTCTTCAATACTTCCTTCTGAAAGAAAATAGAAGAGATTTTGCTACCATTATTTTAGAAACAACATTCGTACCAATATAAAACTATTATTTTCTTGCCGTACATCTGTAACTTCCCAGACTGCCAAATGCCAATTGGGCTGTACATATTAGGCTGTTATTACTGTATTTCCTTTCAAGTTCATTCATTATCAAGGTATCATTATGTGTGTAATGATCATATATTGATGTTGTTTCATTCGCTGTGACAGAAGCAGCTAGAGGAGGAAGAGAAACTCTCTAAGCAGCAAGCTGAGACTCTAAAAGGGCATTATGAAAAGTTTGAGATGATGGATTCTATATTATGTGATGGCACCTCAAAACGTCTATCTAGGTTCTATGGGGTAAATCTAAATGATGACTAAGGACTCTGACTTGTATATCTGTAGTAGTTAACACAGTAGTAGAATGTAGAATGTAATTCGTAAGGTTTCGTAGCTGTCTTTCTTTCCTAGAAAGGAGCTTTTGCAAGGTTATGGATAGAGGTAGTCATACTGTGCAAGAATATCTGTATGAGATACTGATTTCGATCCTGACTACTTTGCTAGTTTACTGGCATTGGCATGTCTGTTATGTTCAGCAATTGCATTTGGTTCAATATTTGTTATCTTATGAGCTGTACAGAAGTGTAATTTCATTCCCTTTGTAATTTTCGTAACTATAGAAAAGAAAGGGCTTGACTGGAGTTTTTGGACACGTAGGCGATGACGCATTTGCTTGCTTTTCTCTTCTTCTGTTTCCAGCCTACATACGCACACACACTACATTTGGATGTCTTTATTAAGTTAAAGATATCACAACTACTTTCATCATCTCAATTTAGGTTGATGGGAAATAATTTCAATAAGCCATGAATTTGTATCAAAAATAGAAAATTTTTGCATATAGAGAACAATGAACTTGAATCAACAAAGTATAATCAAAAGCTAGCATCAAGAACACAAAAGCATTCTTATTCTTATGTAAGAATGAAAGATCATGTCTTGAAGACTAATCATCCGCAGATAATATCATCCAAAAGACTCGATATTTGAACATGGGTATTGCATGTTAATTTTTAATGAAAAATAGATGATAAATTATAGCAGAGTTCCCTAACATAATGAGCAATAAGCCAAGGATTACGGAGGCATGAATTTCATCCGAACAAGCCATTACAGCATGATATTAAAAACTTTAGAAGATAAATGACAAGATTTAAAGATAAGAAGCTCAAATGAAGGTCCTTCAGCCAAGCAACTAATGGCGAAGAGAGCATTGGGACAGAGTCATAAGTTTTTCCTGCTCATTTAACTTTTCTTCCACCTTGTGCAATTTACTATGGAGCATGTTTCTCTCTACCTGAAGCTCCATCACTACATCCCCTGGCTCCTTGCTAGTGTAACGAGCCGTAGTCTTCTCAACTATTGGAACCAACCAGTCTAATCTGAATTTCATAGACTGAAGGTCAATTAGGGTGTTCTTCAGATATTCAGCCTGGGTTTCGCTCAACGAAGACTTCCCCTTGCCCTTGTTATTTTGAAGTATGATCATCATCTTTGCAAGTGACTCAAATGCCCATGTCAAAAGGCCATTACTTCGGACAGCATTCCCATCAACAAAATCATCTTTCTTCCATAACTTTCGCAAATAAGGGACCAAATCAGACCCTACATCCACCCCTTGGAATTTCTTCATTGAAGGGCTTTTCAGAAATCTGCATAAGAACATTATGACATTAAATATTAACAAGTGAAAGTGAAGTACTTGAGGGACACAGTTACACGAGTCCAAGTAACATAGCTTATCACATGAGTACAACTATAAGAACTTTGAAAGCCAACGCTATGATGGAGTACCTCAAGAGGAGCTCTGGTGGATGGATACAAATCATCATCACTTTGACATGTGAACTCTGAAACAAAATATAAGAAGTTAGGGCAACAACCAAATTTATTTATATACTAGTATTTCTCTTTTATTGGGTTCAGTTAAGGATAATGATTAAGGTAATTTACCGTCTGTAGCTGTTTCATCATCTTCAGGGCTGGGTTTACTTTGGCTGGAGGAATCCATTGGTTTATTTTCCTTTTCACTGATACAAATTGGTTTGCGTTAGTTTTTCCAATGGGCAGAACTTTCCTATGTGTTCTAATTACATACTCATGGCAAATACATCAAGCATAGGGGGAATAATAATATAAAGATAGCCTCAAGTGTACATAATGAAGGGTGCTACACTATCTATGTATCCACATCTCGCGGATCACTAGCACAACTGCCCAAGAGTTTACATTCGGTATGTTATTTGATGAGATAGACCAATGTGTCTCGAAAAGTAAGAGCTTTCACTTAACATTTGCAAGAGAGTTTGTAGCTTGAGGCTTTTATGGCATATATCAGAATATATGAATGAACATATGAATCTATAAATGAATCAGAATATGAATCCCCCTTTGAATGAGACAATATGATAGTTTTTATACCTCATCATATATGGAGAGGTTGGGCCTTAGCCCAATTGGCTTGCTTTGTGGGCTGACCTTTGACTTTAGCACAATTGGAGAGTTGAACCTTGACCTTGGGCTTTTAATTGGATCATTTAGTGCTTAGGCCCAATTGGACTAAATTGGACCCAAACAACTTGCCCCCAGACCCGATTTGGAAGGATGACGGGTTGGGTTTGATTTAATTCAGAAAAGGAGAGAAGTAAATGATTTAATTAATCCAAAAAATTTGAATTTAAACCGTAATTAATGAGATAACAACGTTAATGATTGTGGAAGTTGGACGGATAATGGGCAGTTTAATCACAAGATCATGTGTTTAACGGTTACTTAGTGGAGTACTTAAGAGAAATTAAAACGCAGACTCCTCGTATCCCGTACCTGGAGATATAAACAGAGGCGCGTCATTTCTCCTCACTTATTCACCAACACAAACCCAGAATTCTCGAGAGAGAAACCAAGAACCCGCATCAAAACTTCGCAAATTCCCCGAGCATTAAGCTTAGAAACTGAGACTTGCCACTACGAACTCGTAAATCGGCAACTTTCGCTTCAGAATTAAGGTAAATTCCTTTGATTTCAGTTTATTTTTCTTCGAATTCGAACTCCTTTCCCTTTTCTTTCGACTTTTCTCTTCGAAATAATCAATGGCAAGAGGAGTTAGAGGTAGAGCCCGTGCTCCAAGAAGAGCAAAGGCCGATTCCCGATCCTAGGAACAGGATTGGACCTGGAATGGTCAAAGGCCGGAGTCTGACCCTGCTGAAGGGGATTAGGGCGACTCCCCTTTCCTCGGCTCCTCCTCAGAGAACGGAGGTGCCGAGCGCTTCTGGACGGGATGATGAAGTTCCCGCTGTCCTTTGGGATATCCTCCCCGGGTTTTTCAGAATGGGAGAATGCCGAAGTTGCTTCGGCCATGATAAAGAACCGCCCCTACTCATGGTGGGTGGAGAATGCCGATCAATATCGATTTGCCGAGCAAATTGAGTTGGCATTACGGCATTTTTGAAGCTGATGGGTACTGGTGCCGAATGCCCTCGGCATCCGATAGAATCCATCGTCCACCCCCGGGGTATGTGGGGGTGTACACAAGACAGCTTCAGTATGGGCTGAGGTTCCCTTTGGACGTATTCGTCCGAGACTTGCTGATCCATTACAACATCTCTCTATGTCAGTTAACTCCCACCAGCATCCGAAGGGTGATGACTTACTTATGGGTCTGCAAGTTCTTCAAGTACGTGCCGAACCTGCACTGCTTCAAAAAGCTCCATCGGCTAGTGCCAAATATTCAAAGTGGGCACGGAAGCCATGGTTCTGGGTGGTACCGGATTGAGTCCCGGCCCCAATACCTAACCATGTGGCCAAACGACTCTTCAGACAAGGACTGGAGAGGTCAATGGATTTGGGTTAGGGCACCCCACAGATCCGGGCCACCCTTGCGTCTTCAGCGCTCCCGGTACCTCGCTGAGCCTGATCCCGAAATGGGAAGTCTAGGTCCCCCCGCAGATAACGGGGCGGATCCGAACCTGGATCAGCAACATATCTTCGGCAAGCTGCCGAACCGGGGGGGCAGTGGCCGAATGCAGCATATCCCGGAGACTTGGCTCCCCGATACGCATTACGTTTTCCAAGAGAACATGCTAGCAGCTGTTGGCCTCAGCCGAAAGTTTAAGGATGGTAAGCTTCTTCGGCTGGGGCCGAGGCTTTTTAATTATCTCTTTTTCTTCTCTCGCTTCGCTTTTTTATGCTGTGCCAATCTATCTGAGCTAACCTTTCCCCTTTCCTTTTTTCAGAGCGGGACGAGACCAACGTTGGCATTAACTACGCTCGTCTTGGTGTCAACCGAGAACGAGTTTGTAACTGAACGGGCCCCGTCTATCACTGAGCCGAGGCATAGGGAAGTTCATCTAGACTCTTCCACTTCCAAATTGAGGCTGTTGCTCTGTATCAGAGGCAAAAGCCTTAGTGGAAGAAGAGAGACCCTTGGTTTCAGCTGCTGGACGAAGAAGCTGAAGCTGCCCGCACAGCCGAAGAGGTTGCACGGGTACTCGAAGCTTGCGAAGGAGGAGAAGGGTCCTCCAGAGCTGCTGAAGCCGAAGCTGCAGCTAGAGCAGCTGAAGAAGACGAGGCTTTGCTGAAGACCTCGGTGAGCTTTCAGACTTAACTTTTTCTTTTTTCTTTTCTTTTTTTTTTTTTTTACTCACATTCTTCCTCCCCCTGTCTGTTACAGTCTGAAGAGAGTAACAGACACAGAGAAGGCAAAGCTCCTGTTCGTCCCGAAGACCAAATACAAGAGTCTTCAGACTCAGATATGGACGAGCAGCCCCTTCTGAAAAGGCGCCGAAGGATGGCCATCATCGGCCCTCATGACTTTCAGCGGAGGCCGATGACCATCGGCGTCGCAATAAGGGAACCCGAGGAAGGCAACGGATCGCCGAGGGTTCCCCAGCCACCACCCCAATCACCTCACAAGACCCCTCCGCCACCTCCTGAGATGGAGGTGGATCAGAGAACTCCCGAATCTAAGGGAGGGGTCCAAGAAGAAATCAAGAAGAGTGCTGCTGAGCACGAAAATAAGGATGCCGTGATGTCCAGTGCTGAGGGCTTCACGGCAGACATCGCAAGAGAGGTTGAGGCTTTCGTCCTCACCCCTGAAGAAGAGGAGGTCATAGTAATTGACTCCTCTGAGAAGGATGATGCTGAGACAACCAAAGCTAATCAAGCTCCATCGTCATCCTTCCCTTCTTTCCAGACTCTGCATTCTGGAGAAATGGGTTTCTCGGCCCCCCGAATTCCAATCCCAGACCACATCTGGGACCTCATATGGGGTCAGAACCGAGAAGGAGCTGCAGCCTACTTCGGCGATTTTGCTGGCATGTCCGAAGTAGACAGGGCAAGGATCTGGTCGCTGAAGGCCACTGCTGGGATGGGCGAATCCAGCAGATCAGTTCCTGACCCAGCCAGGTCTAACCAACTGCTGATGATGCAGGTAATTTTCCTTGTCTTCATTTCCTCTGAAATTCAGCTCTTTATATTTTTATTTTTTTTATTTATTTTTTTTTTGTCTTCCTGTTTTCAGTTCGTGCACAATCAGACTCTCACTGTAGAGCTGATAGATACCCTACAAGA